GGGGGCCGATAGCACCACTGGAGTTTTGTGGCTCGTCGAACCACCCAACCTCCATGTTAACCACTTTCTCAAAACACATTGTTCTGATCCGCTGAACCAGTTTGCAACCAGCTATGGAGAAGAAGAAGGTCTGGGCAGGGTATGCTATAATGGAAGCTATACCAAGAGCCACGAAAATGATCGCCCAGAACCTCGTATCGTCTTTTAACTCATCGGCTGGCTTGAAGAATGCTTTGATCACACTGGAGATTAGAATGCCGAAAAGCGGAAGTATGACACCGTTCCCGGCTGCGGATATAGAACCGAGTATGATAACTGGAATCTCGGGCTTGTTAAGGGTAGCGATTCTGAGAAGGGAGACTTTCTTCTGTTCCTCGGCTGGCAATGGAGCTTCCGGCTCTTGGTCTAGAGTGGAAGTATTTGTGTCTATTCCTGCAGGAAAACCAAACACAGAGAAAGAATGGCGGCTGCTGTTTCCTCGAGACGATCCTTTGCTTATGGATCGTCCTAACGACCTTCCCATGCTCTGCTGTTTCATGGATTCCATCGATATCTCCGACCTGTTTTGCTCATTCGGCGTTGCATCTACCGACTCTTTCTTCTCTTCCTGCAGGTGTATGAGCTGAGAGTATGCTCCCTCGGGATCTTTCAACAGTACTGAGTGAGAACCTGACCCATCATACCGTATATATGTATTAGCAGTCATATATATTAGCAATTACTTGCGTGTTTAAGATTCTGAATTACCTTGCTCTACGATCTTGCCCTGATGAATCACGGCGATTGTGTCAGCGTTTCTCACAGTGCTCAAACGGTGAGCGACGATAACAGTTGTTCTGTTCACCATGACTCGATCAAGCGCCTCCTGAACGATCCTCTCTGACTCTGCATCAAGAGCGCTCGTAGCTTCGTCTAGAAGTAAGATTCTTGGATCTTTCAGAATGGCTCTCGCCACTGCTATTCTCTGTTTCTGCCCACCCGACAGTTGGGTCCCGTGTTCTCCAACCATAGTGTCCAGACCCTGCAAGCGTGTCATGTAAGAGAATCTAAACCAGAGAGAAAAAAGACCGATCTTGATCTTGATCTGAGGAGTTTTCAAAAACCTGTGGAAGCTTGTCGATGAATTTAGACGCGTTTGCTAACTCTGCAGCTGCTCGTATCTCTTCAATGGTCGCGTCTTCCTTTCCGTAGGCGATGTTTTCCTTTATGCTGGACGTGAACAAAACCGGTTCTTGACTAACCAGTCCTATCTTGCTTCTGATCCATCTCAGCTGAAACTCTTTCAGATTAACCCCGTCGATTAGGACTTCCCCGGCTTGTGGGTCGTAGAACCTCTCTATCAAACTGATCACTGTCGATTTTCCGCTTCCACTCTGCCCGACCAGAGCTGCAGTCGTACCGCTGGGGATAAAGAGCGAGAACCCGCGAAATATCTGCTCATCTGGCCTTGCCGGGTAGCTAAAGTAGACGTCTTTGAGCTCGATGTCTCCTCGGATATCGTCCAAAACCTTTCCCCTTGTGTCGTAAGCATCAATGTCAGGCTTCCTCTCGATGGTCTCGAACATCTTGTATGCCGCTGCTTGACCTGCTGCAAACGCACTCAAACACGGAGACGCTTGCCCAAGAGACCTAAAGGTACGTTTTTCCTTATGTAAGGTACTGTCTGAAACATCATCGGATTCATACAGAACTGTAATGATGAATGAAACTCACATTGAACCGGTCAGGACAGCGACAATGACGTTGAGGACTTGTCCGCCGCTGTATCCTTTCTCCAGAATCATCTTCCCGCCGTACCATACGGCCAGAGCATAGCTGCAGAATACAACAAAGAAAAGGGTTCCGAGTCCTAAACCAGTTGAAGCACCTTCAAAGACTCCTGCTCTGTATGCAGATGCAAGATGCTTCTTGTAATTGCTTATCGCTTGCTTTTCCCCTGTGAAAGACACGACCTGACCCGCAAAAAAAACATCATGACATGTCAGAAGATTCTTGTCAGCAAACTAGTTCTGAATGTCCAAAGGTAGAAATATAACAAACCGTTCTGATAGAGCCGATGGTTTGTTCGACAACGACAGCAGCTTTAGCATAAGCGGTTTGACCAACGGAAGCCATCTTGGCAATGACGATGGCGAGACCTGCACCTGCCATCACCAGAAGCGGGATTGAGGATAGCATGACCAGAGTCAATAGCCATCCTTCTGTGAAAGCTATCACAAAGCCTCCAATAAACGTCGACACCAGCTGTATTGCCTTCCCCACCTGAAAAAAAAAACTTCATTTCAGCCATACCCGAAAAAGAAAAACAAGAAAACTTCGAAACTTTGTAACGGGTTGATGCTTTACCTTCTCGCCCATGGCGTCTTGAATGAGGACAGTATCCCCAGACATTCTCCCGACGACTTCGCCCGTGTTTGTCTCAACGTCGAAGAAAGCAATGTCCTGTCTGAGAATGGTTTTCAGATAGAGACTCCTTATTCTTGCTGCTTGTCTCTCCCCAGATATCATCCAACCAGAAACCTCTAACAACCCACCCAAAAAAAAAAACAAGATTTTGATCTTTAGATCTTTATCCGGATTCAGACCCATCATAGATTCAGAGAAGTCTAGTGCTTACGAAGAAACGCGGCCACAAGAGTTCCGATTCCAAGATACACGAACTTCAGAGCCACCTGTGTGTAAATTCATAACAGTGGTTAAAGACATGGATCCGGACACAGCCAGAACAAAACCAGAGCGGAAAGAAGAACCAGAGTTTTACATTACCTTAGAGATGGCATTGGACACATCAGTACTGTTCTGGTTCTGTCCGAAGGCATCAACCACATCGCCGAACAAGATGGTCATAATAGGGAATCCTAAACCGTTTCCCACAGCACCGATCGCCCCTATTATCATCAAGAACACATCGAACGAATCTGCAAAAGCAAACAGCTTGTAAAAAGGCACAGTCTTGGTCTTCTCATCTTCTTTGTTCTTCTCTGTTTTCTTCTCCCCGTTGAGATCAGACTCTTTCTTCACTTCTTCTCCCTTTTCTTCTGGGATTTTCGACATGGAGGCCTCTGCTACGTTTGAATCATCCTTCACGCCGTTCTCTGAAGCCATTGTTATTCTGCCACGTCCTTTATGCTCCTATATGAAAGCCAGTATATCTTAGGAACATGGAGAGAGAGAGAGAGAGAGAGAGAGATTAACCAGAAGAGACGTAAAACCAGAGAAAAGACAGAAGAAACAGATCCACAGAGAAAAAAAAAAGGAGTCAGCTTTGTCAGATCATCGCTAAATCAAACACAAACTGTAAGAACACGAACCACGAGGATTCTTTCCTTTCCCAGATCCTAACAAAACCAGAGCAGATCCGTCAACTTCGACCCATATCACAGGAACTTAAATCAGACAAAACCCAGAAACCAAAAAGATCCAAGAAGCAAACACAAAAAACAAGGGACAGGTGAAAAAAAGGACAGAGAATCAGATACCTGGACACGGGAACGTCCAGGCCAAAAGGAGCTTTTACGTATTGGTTCGTAGCAGTAGCAGTTGAAATGAGCAGGGATTTCTGCAGGCAGAAGATTATCCCTCTAAATTACACAGACCCGTGTGTGTATGCGTGTATATATACATATGGACTGTTCATTTCTTGAGGGACAAGCAGCTTTTACCAGGGAACTTAGACCCTACCGAGGAAAATGGAGAACAAAGTTCGTCAAAAATGCCTCTCACGAGGAAAAGTTACATACAATTTAAATCTAAAAAATAAAATTTTAAAAGCGGTAATTAACTTCAATCGCTGATGGAAGAACACACGAGTCTTTACAAGAATATTAATATTCCGTACACATAATTATTTCTTTCGTGTTTTTGTTTGTTTGGAAACTTTCTGTTCCGAATCCTGGCCGAATAAGATGGTTTTTTGGTAATTTGTTTACGCACAAACAAATGTATGATTACAAGGAATAATTAAGTTTTGTGTGCGTCCATATCTCTTGAGAATCTAGCGTTCTGTTCAACTAAACTGCAATTAATTATTTTTCCCCTCTTATAATTTTTTTTTTTTTTTGCAATAGTAATGTAATGGAATTTCCGTTCTATTACCGATTTATCATGGCGATGTCTCGTATTTACGACTTTGCCACACACACGACACGTTACTTAATAAATTACCAATTGATTACGAATCCAATGTGTATATACACGTGTGCGTGTATGGGTGTATGTATGTACCACTTTTGAGATTGGTCCAAACAGAGGGATCTAGTTCATTTATCTCTCTATCCACTGCTAAATCTGTTATTTTATTTACCGTTGTGAAGAAGAAAACAGAGCTATTGTTCGACACGACACCGTATTTGGTTCAAAACGTAAGCTGAATAATAATCAATTATTGACTAGCATTTCGTATAATATGATCATAAAAAAAATATTATTCTGATTTTTATATATTTTTTAGCACATTTAGTCTACGTTCAATGAGACGATTTTTATAATGTTTTGAGTCTTCGTATACGCGTGAACCATTTCAAAATCGTTTCCTTGGCTTTGTTTTTTTACTCGAAAATCAGTTAAAATATAATCTCGAGATTAGCGATGATTTTGTTTTGATAAATATTTTATAAAATCGGATAAAGTAAAGATATGTTGCGTATTGCTTTCATTGACTTTCTCGTTCACTTTTGATCGAGACCCGACATACAATCCCAATTTCTTATTACTTGCTATCATTTTGTTGAAAAATAATATTAAAAAAAAAATTAAATGGATGCTTAGCTAGCATGAATTATCATAATAATAATATGCTCTTCGATGGCTTGGGTGACAGGCACATCGACCAATCTGTTTGACAAGACCGCCCCAACCGTGTTTTCAATCATTGGTAATTTACAAACAAAAATATGGAATGTTCGTATATATATATATATATATATATATGTCCATGTCACATGAGATTTCGATCTGATTTGATTTTATACTTGATAATTAATTTCTTGTATTATATAAGTATTAATGGCAACGGATGAGTAAATTACACTCGCATGCGGGGATATCAAAACAGGAAGAATTTAAGTGAAAATGATGGGGTTTTTTTTTTCGTATTTACCAATGCCTAATATCTCGATTAAATAATATAAATTATTATTATATTATATTGAGCAGCTGGATTTGGTGGGAGGAAAGGGCAGTTTCCCCATTAATTTCGTGGGATGGGGGTTCGTGTTCGCTTTTCAGTTCTCACCAACAAGTGGACTTTGCGATACTCAGAAGAAACAATGAATCTTCTCCATATATATATATATATATATATACATATATATTTATTTATTTACTAACGTCATTGTATACGTAATACACTAGATATCACATGCGCATTACGATTTCATTTGTATATTATATAACACTTTCGGGATATATAGCTCACGTGTCAAACAGACGTCCATTATAATGAATTGGTGGTTGTTGTTATATTAAGTTAGTGGTAAACGCCTTGTTCATCAAGTCAAGTCCAGGAACAACGGGCGATGAGAGTCCTCGACGCACCACGTCATCAGGCGCACACCTTTCCTCGGCAGAGGCGTGGACCCCATGATCCCCGCGGGAACAATGCTCGACCCTTGGATGGGTGCCACGTGTTCAGGTGGTCCCTACCCTGGTTTGATGAACCCTAGCTCCCGCCACTTCGACATGAACAGCGTCGCGTATCCCACCCCCTCCGCCGCCGTCCACGAACCTCCCGAACTCCTCCGGCAGCGTCGCTTTCGCTCCTTTGATCATCTTCACCACATCGAAGATCGATCTCTCCTTCACGATCTCGTGAATCCCGGCGGAAATCTTCACCGGAAAGAAGTAGTTGCCGTAGAATCCCACCGGGAGCGGCGGATTGACCAGATGAGGACGGTTCGCGAAGAACACGAAGCTTTACTCCCGTGTTCTCCCTCAGATCTATCGCTTCGGTTCGAAGCTTCCAGAAACATGCCGCGATAATCTCGAAAGCAGAGCAGATTTCGCCGGTGGACTCGTGGAATTCACGCTTGAGCCGGCAGATTTGTTCAGACGGAGAGATTTTTCTGGCGTCCAGCTATTTCTCCGACGGCGTTGATGAATTGGGCCGCGCCTAGACCGTCGCATATGGAGTGGCAGAATCTAAGGCCCGTTACGAAACCACCGCATGAAAATTGAGTCACCTACAAATACCCGGTTATTGTCAACCGGCCCAACCGGATCAGATAAATTCCCGGCTAATGGGCCTAATCACGTACCCAATTGTCAAACAAGCCGGCTCAACCGGATTAGATAAATTCCTGGCTAATGGGCCTTGATCACGAGCCCAATTGTTAAAGAAGCCGGCTCAACCGGATCAGATAAATTCCCGGTTAATGGGCCTTGATCAAGATAAATTTAGTTTTTAAATATTTATTAATCTTATTATTGCTGAATTCAACTTTATTTAGTTATTAATCTGTTTATTATATAGCCGTAGCTTTTTACATAATCTGGTTCAAAATTCTTAATTGCTAACACTTTACACAATTTTGTTAATTACAGCGCTAATTGAAGAAAATTAACGATTAGCACGATTTTAGTGTGATCCGTGTATATTTATATATATATTTTTTGAAATATGATTCTTTATGTTAATTTTTTATTTTGTTCCTAATAAATTTATACTTGGAATTTTTTTTAATTTAATTCTAAGATATTTTTCTGTATTAGATATGATTTGTACAGATTAAATTTTATGTATATGATAAAGAATCCGTTGAAGATTAAAAAAAAAAGCGATTAATACATTATACATGTATGAATTTGTATTGTAGTAAAAGGTAAGAAAAAAAAAAGATAAGTCTAAACTGAATTCTTCTACTCCCCGTTATCTTTTATTTTATTTTCCACGATTTTAGGAAACACATATAAAAAGATTTTTTTAAAAAGGACGAAAATATTTGAAAAACTAAATGGCATGAATAAGTCAGCCATATCCCTCATTTACCGCCCGTTATTTTACAGTGGAAAATAACAGTTTATTCTCTCTTTTTTGAAATTCAATGCTTATAAATGAAATGAAGACCTCAATAATACTCACCAACATAGAACAGAACACAGAAAAAAAAAAAGAAAAAAAAAAGATTTAAAAAAAAATGAAAGTGTTGGCACTGGTCACCGTGGTGAACTTGCTTCTGCTACTGGTTCAAGGCAATGAGGACGAGACGAAACGGTGCGTTTCGGCGGTGGGAGATCCCGGCATGAGAAGGGACGGGCTGAGAGTGGCGTTCGAAGCGTGGAACTTCTGCAACGAAGTCGGAGCCGAAGCTCCTCACATGGGCAGCCCTCGCGCCGCCGATTGCTTCGATGTCTCCCCTCTCCACAATTCTCACCGGAAAAACAACTCACCCGACAAGAGTATTCCTCTTCTTCTTCGAGCTTCTTCTCTTGGTATATATATATATGTATATGTATAGCTGATTCATGTAAAACGGTCGATATTGGACTAGGTTATTCCTTGGTGCACAAGGTGTCAGATTCGGACAACAAGCTCGGGGTGGGGAAGAAGAAACCAGGAGCCATATCAGAAGCAGCAACTCAGAACGCAGATCTATACGCGGTCGAGAAAGAACTCTACTTGGGGTCTCTCTGCCAAGTCTCAGACGATCCAAACCCATGGAGTTTCTGGATGGTGATGCTCAAGAACGGAAACTACGACACAAGATCCGGCCTCTGTCCTGAAAACGGCCAAAAGATCCCACCTTACGTACAACCCGGAAGATTCCCCTGTTTCGACACTGGCTGTATGAACCAACCGGCGCTGAACCACGAAAAGACCAAGCTTCTTGGCGATGGATCAACCATGAGGGGTTGGTTCAACGGGACGTATGATTTGGATGCCCATTTCGGAAATGGGTTCGATGGGATAAGTTATTACGAGGTTGTGTGGGAGAAGAAAGTCGGAGTTGGAGGATGGGTTTTTAAGCATAAGCTTAAGACATCGCCCAAGTATCCATGGCTGATGCTTTATCTTAGAGCTGATGCCACCAAAGGCTTTTCTGGTGGGTACCACTATGACACGAGAGGAATGCTCAAAACGGTAAGTAATAATCCATACGGAGAATCTTTGTAATTGTCGTATTTGTTCTGACAACCGATTCTCAAAGATCACGAAGAGATTTTTCATTTGCAGCTTCCGGAATCGCCGAACTTCAAGGTGAGACTGACAGTAGACATCAAACAAGGCGGAGGACCAAAGAGCCAGTTCTACCTCCTCGACATCGGGAGCTGCTGGAAGAACGACGGCAAGCCCTGCGACGGTAACGTCACCACCGACGTCACTCGCTACTCCGAGATGATCATCAATCCCGACACGGCCAAATGGTGCAGCCCCTCCTCCCTCTACAACTGCCCGCCTTACCATACTTTCCGCAACGGCACCAGGGTTAACCGTACGGACGAGCAGAACTTCCCGTACGAGGCTTACCATGTCTACTGCGCTCCAGGGAACGCGCTCCACTTGGAGCTCCCCGTGGGAACATGCGATGCCTTCAGCAACCCGCAGGCTCAGGAAATTGTCCAGCTTTTGCCTCACCCGGTCTGGGGAGAGTACGGATACCCGACCCAGATGGGTGACGGTTGGGTCGGCGATCCAAGAACATGGGAGCTCGATGTCGGCGGCTTATCCAGCAACCTTTACTTCTACCAGGTACCGTAAGGAAGTTCATCTTGCCTTTATAGATTTTAATCAGATACCTCTCGTGGGTTTAGGTTTTTCTGATGTTCGGAGCATTCTTCAGGATCCGGGTACGCCGCCGGCGAGGAGGATATGGACATCAGTGGACGTCGGAACAGAGATCTACAGCGGTGACCAAGACGAAGCAGTTGCAGAGTGGGACCTTTCTGATTTCGATGTTCTTCTTACTTGAGGCATATTTATGTGGTTCCCTAAGAGCTTAGTAAGGTTAAATGTGGTTTAGAGAGAATCCCAAATAGGATTTTCTGGTTTTAGAATGGGTTTTTGTGAATAAGAACTCCAATCGACTGGGTTCAGATTTGAAAAAAGAAAATGAAAAAAAAAAATTCAACGAAGAATCTTGTTTGATTAGTTCATATTCAAAAATGTCGGCGGTTGTCGTTGAATTCTCGGCACGAATGCATGTGTAAGCAGCACGTTCAAGTTCGTAATTTCATGGTCGGACTCCCATTAACCACATCTAATTACAAGGGGGAAAAATGAAAATATATGTATATATGAATACGACAAAGTTGATTACGATGTTCTTGTACTAGAACGGGACCAGGAAAGAGAAACATTGTACTTGCAATGTACTTGCCCCTCCCTACCACTTGGAATGGGCAATTCCAATACCTCCGACCGAGACGGAGGGTTTCATACTCGAATGGAAAAAACGTTAACCAAGATATCTTTACACCGTCGCCGCAGTACCATGGCTTCGTGTTAGTACACAGTACAAGACTTTAGGTAACACAAATATGTAGTACACTTTCGTTTGAATCCTCGCGTAGTACAAGTACATATGAGCGAACTGATTATCCCTCCCTGATCCGGAATCTATAAAACCTGGAAGACATGCCCAGAAACAGAGAAGGCCGAGTTCTCTCATTGTCCATTTTCAGACAATGTAAAAGGTAGGGTTTTGTTTGAGGACGGAAGGAAGGAAGGGCAGAGCATGAGACATGAGACGGGGAACAGACAGAGCATGGATGGAGTGGCTAAACAAGCGATGTTCGTGTTTTGTCCCTACCCATGCACTGCCTCTTCCCTGGCTCTGTCCTTTTCTTTCTTCCTTCGTCTCCTTGATCCATCCCTCAGCTTTTACCTGTTTATTATTCCACGTTTCTATTGACATTTTCACCATAATTCCTGCCTAGATGACTCCAGTTCGATGTTTTAGGTTCTGTTTGGTTCTTGTTGTACCTTTGTGATGGCAAATCTTTGGAGCAGGGCCCTATTATGCGGAGCTGCAGTGGCATCCATTTCTTGCTGCCAGACAAGAGAAGGGCATCGATGAAGATAACCAGATCCTCTCCTATGGCATGGCGATTCATGAATGCATGATCTGTGACACGCCCTTTTGGAAAGTTGTTCGCTCCGTTCTGGTTCCACTGCCAATCCTGCTCAAGGACAAATTTCTTTGTGTGTATATAAAAACTTGGGAGAGAGGAAAGACTGAGAGCCCGCTTTCAGAAACCTAAATCTTTTACTTGATATGTACCTGATCAGATGGCAGTTTCCATTGACAGATTCAAATTCTTGAGCGCTCTGGCTTTGTTCAGCCATTTCCAGCATGTCCATATCCTCAGAAAACTCAGACACCATGGGTTTCAGTCCGTCAATCTCCTGCCACAGATGTAAGTAAACCAATATGAGAACTCCAGAACAAATGCAAACTGTGATTTCTGCACTTGAAAGGAAACAAAGGTCGAGGTAAATTCACTACCTTTTAGTTTGCCCCTTAATTCTTTTATCAGCTCCCTTGAATCCCTCAGCTTTCCAAGTTCATGAATCCTTAATCCTTATTAGCCCTTGGGAACTTTGCCGGTGAGTATTCAGGCTATCTTCAATTAACGATTCCAACAGATCAAAACCCACCCAAGGATTCAACAAAGAGGAACTTCGGACCGATATAATCGGACAAATCTCCGGTTACCTGGTTTACATGTTTCTCGAGAACAACACTCCGGCACTCAATTGCCGATAATATCAGCTCCATTATCTTAATCAATCCGGCGACGGCGACAACTAGGGTTGCATTTCCACCGTTATAGAATCCATTTCATAAGTATTGAACTGAAAATCCAACCATATTACCATTCAAACGGAAGTGGAGTAGGCGGATCGTTACGTACAAATCGAAAATTATACCAAATAGCTTAGAAAGCTCGCGAATCACGACAAACCCAGATGAGAAAATTCAAGGAAATCGAGAATCATTTATGGGAATAAGCATGAACCCACCGTTTGTGTAGGATCGAATCATCGTGCAGGCGAAAGTTGACCCCTCCGCTACGGTCATCCCGCCGTGAAATTATCGAGGAAGATCGAATCAGCCATCTCGGAGCAAGAACAAGCATGTTTTTGTTCATCCACGCTTCCCCTTTTGCCGCATAAGACGATTCTGATTTTGGGCCCCACAAAGCCTATTATTTTGGGCTTTAATTCATTAACCAAAAAGCCCATGATATTAAATTCCTGCATCCCATCTATCCAATCACTCTCTCTATATTAATATTATATATTCCACACAAGCCCCCGTAACCGTAAGGACGATTGGTAACACTCGTATATCATATTATTTTTATCTTTATTAAATAGTATCAAACATAAAATTATTATTCAAAATACAACTCGATCATGAACTAACGAATTGTTTCATCGAATGAAATAAAAAATATTTTTTTCTTTTGTACGTGAAACAACAAAAAAAGCATTCCGACAACACCATTTCCACGTAAATCTAACACCATAATAATTTGAAAAAAAGGAACCTCAACCAGTGAAACGATGTCGTTTTTCAGCCTTTTACATGCCACGTATTCTTTTTATTATTTCCGTTGCTTTTGTTTCTCTCAAATTTCGGAGCTTATAATCCGAGCTGGACAGGCACGTCAGCGGCTTGGATCCATTCGATGGGAGCCAACCAGTTGGCGACGGTGAAGCCGTTGACTTCGGAACTGGCTTTTGCAACCTTAGCCCAGTTGACTCTCTTCGCTCCGTTGGCTCCTGGTCCACGGTTGTTGTACTCGATGTATTTGCACGACTTGTGGAAGTTCTCTCCTTGCCAGATCATCCATCCCTCCGGTCTGATCACGTCTCCGATCTCACTGTTCATCACGATCGTCGTCGAGTACTGTTTCCACGGCCTGCCTAGGTACGACGGCACGGTCAGCCTCTCTGCCTCGAGTTTCTTGTCTGGAACGATGCGGCAGTTCTGGAGCACGATCCCGATCTTGACGTTGGTGCCCTTCTCGTTTCCGTCGGCTGTGATGGTGTTGAGCTGACCCGGGTTGCCCTTTCGGACCACGATGAGCGAGTTCTGGATCACGGTCGCGGATTTGCCGAAGATGAAGTCGACGGTTCCCGACACAACGCAGTTTCTGTAGAACTGGCGACCGTTGTTCACGTAGAGCGTGTCTTGGTACCCGTCGAACCTGCAGTTGAAGAGGACGGCTCGGTCTCCGTTGACACGGATAGCCACAGCCTGGTGTCCCATTGGTCCGGCTGTGTTCTTGAACCCGATGTATTTAGCCATGAACCCTTCCGATTCAACCTCTGCACGTTTGAACGAATGGGTTATATCTAAATACATATATATCCGAAAGAATGCTAGTCGATGGATTGATTGTGTACTTACGGACAGTTCCGCTGAGGGATGTTGTGGTAGCAGGGCTGAGCTTGACACTCCTGTTGTAGGTGATGATGGTTCTTCTTGCACCGTCACCGAACATGAAGATGTTGTTCTTCTTTTTCGGGATGATGACTTGCTCTCTGTAGACTCCGGCCTTGATGTGGATGATGCACCTGCCGGGGTTCTTGTCGGGACAAGCGTTCACGGCTTGGGCAACGGTCTTGAACTGTCCGCTTCCATCCTTAGCCACCACGAAGGTTGCCTTGATCCTCGGGTCTGCGCCACCGCGACCGGCGTTGGCTAAGAGCTTCCTGTCGGCACCGGGCATCCAGGCCGGGAATCCTCCCTCGGCGGCTTCAGCCTCCTCGAGAAGGCGGCGACCGGGTGTGGTAATTCCAGGGATGTTGATGGTGCCGTTTTTGGCTAGACCGAGCTCGGTCATAGCGGTGAGGACGGTGGAGAATATGTCGATGGCGTTGCTGGTGAGGATCTTGGAGTTGGCAATGCCGTCGGCCATTATCTTCCTGAGCTCGGCATCCTCGATGTCGTCAAGGCAAGAGGTCTGGTAGACGAAAACACCGGTCAGCCATTGTTTGAGCTGGTCGAGCTTGCTACCCGTCTGCTCCATATCGTCATCCATCTCTTCGAGAATGGACTTGAGATCCTCGAGGGCGTAGGAGAAAACTCTCATGCAGTACTCGAGGACGGCCTTGTTGGTGGGGGCATTGGCGGTGTTGTTTCCGACAGTCCCCTCGGCCTTGCCGGTGAAGTTGTAGGCCTTTAGGATCGCGTCCTGGGTGGCCAACATGAACGCCTTGATCAGCTTGTTCGGGTCGTCGGTGTTGACGGGCTCGAGGGTCTTGACGCACGAGGCTTTGTCGGTGGTCGATTGGCAGATGGC